TCCCAGCGGTTTTACTTTGCACAGTGAAAAAAAACAACTATTTCCTATGTTTCTTATTGATCTATACACTTTAAAATAAATAATAACTATTTCCTTAGGCCAGTGAGCCTTTCATTGAAGATGTTGAAATATTAGAAATTAAAAAGTAATTTTCTAAAGGTGTCACTTGCACTGATCTTCCTGAGAGAGTCTCCCCAACCGTTTCTATTTTGAAAATGCATAGTATCCTCTTACACTGAAAAAACTATGTGTAACTATTACATTAGCTATGTGTAACTATTACATTAACTCTTCAGCGATAAACAAGGGTTGGTTTGGGACCACAGAACAGATGGTAGATTTGCATTTGTATTTCTCTGGCTGATCTGATATTCTGGTATCTGGTTTGTTTCAGAGATATCACATGCTGCAAAGCTTGCCTACAACTGATGCATCTACAATAAGTTTCAAGACTTAAAACATATGACAAGTGCTTTGGACATTACAATGAAGGCCCAGGTGTGGCTTAGACATGCAAGACAAGGTGTTATAAGTTAATGTGTTTATAGCCCGAGAGGCCCAGGCTATCTCTAGCTGGGTTTACAACTTCCTCTCAATTCAAGAGCATGTAAACTTGCAGCAGCTATGCCTGATAGAAAATCATTTTAGGAAAAACTACAAATAAAGCCACTAGACAGCTGGAGTGCAGAAGTTTGAGTGTGTTGATGGCATGAGGCACACTGACCTTAGACCCATTGTGAAGCACCAACAAAGAGCCATCTGCACAGCAACCAAAGCTGAGATGAGGGACGTGCACACAGGGGGACAAGAGGGGGAGGGACACAGGGACCTGAAGAGTGTTGATGAGGGAACAATCAGTGATAAAGAAAAAAAAATTAATGGGGCTTGCTCAGCTGGACAATGTCTGAAACATCAAAACAGTCAGTGGTAACATCTCAGAGGTTTGTACACAAAGAAACAAGAAGCTGTACAACATGTCAACCCAGAGAGTATAGTGATCTCTCCCCTGCTGGTGAAGTGGAAGACAAGAGCTGCTGGCCTAATCACTCAAGAACACATTTCCTGTCTCCTGCATGATGAAATGAACTCAATTGTAGCTGGCTAATATTTAACCCAAACCTGGGTCTCAAACACAGCGGCTCCTCATTCATTCTGCGAGTAGAAACATGTACACCTAGTCTCTGCTGTGATCTGAATTGTAATAGCATCTTGGTTTAGAAGATTGGTTTGGATGTGAACAGGTATAGTGCAGACAGTATTTAGTTTTCCTTTTCACATGGCTAGGGTGTGTTTTAAAATGGTGCAAAACAAAGACAAAATGGTGTCAGGGACATCTGTAAAAATCACAAATGTTTCACAGGTAAGACATACGAGTCAGGATTGCTTAGCAACAGCAGTATAAAAAAATTCTTGTAGCCCGTGTAGTAAAAGAGGAACCGGTAGTGCCTCCACCTAGTGGTGCACTGGTAGTACATGGTGACTCAGAACTGAGAATGAACAAAAGCCCCCCTCTCCAAAGCATGTATGTGCAGTGAGTTGAAGTAGTGGTAATGATTTTTAAGGTGTAGCCCTCATAAATGAAGAGGGAATTAATATAAAAAGTAATATCCATTTTCCTCTTTAACACTATTCGAAATTGTGTTCAGTAATTTGATTGGCTGGAAAATGCATCGACTCTCATGGCAGGTGGTTGCTTAGCAACATTCATGGGAGGGTGGGATGTGGGTGGGAGGGTGTGAGCATCGGGGAGGTGGGGCGCTCTTCAAGGGGAGGGAGCACTGTGGGTGCAGGCAGACTGACTGGGGAAATACCTGGCAAAATTCCCAAATAAACAATCGAGAGAGAGAGAGAGAGAGAGAGAGAGAGAGGAGAACAGAGCCAGAGATGAGGACAGGGGGATTTTCTGGATCTGGATAACAGTTCTTCCAGAGATAAATGTGGCCATTTGTTAGACAGAGTTTTAGGGCCACACTGAAGAAAATTAAAAGATTTTTGAGAAAAAAAACTCTCAATTTTATGGGAATAAAGTTTTAATTTTATGAGAAACATGTCATAATATTACAAGTTGTCATTTTAAGAAAAAATTGCACAATATTATGGTATTAAATAAGTTTGCGAAAACATATTTATAAACTTCTTTTACTTATAACTGCAACACAGGACAATTTTTCTGTTTCTTCTCTTTCTAGCCCATTTCAGTCCAGGCGTAGATCCAAAACCACAACACTTAAACTTACCAAATCTGTAATAAATTATCAAGGACAGTTTAAAGAGTTTTTCAAGCACAGTTTCTGAACTGTGAACCCTTTTTCCTATTTATGAAAATGGCTTAAAGGGACATTTTACAGTTTTTATCCCTCTAGACCGCCTCAGACTAGGTCTGGATGCAAACGAATACACTTAGACTTACCAAATCTGGTCTAAATTTTCAAGGAGACTGTAAAGACATGATTTCTGATTTGTGAAACCTTTTTCCTACTAGTCTTCTCCCTGGACTGAGGTGAGGCTGTGAATCAGATGCCAACTTCAGTGTCATTTCCATATGGTTCTTTCTTCTGAACTTACAAAGTTTCTTATGTATTCTTTTCAAAATCCTGATACATATGACGATCTGGTGCTGACGAGATAGATTAAGTATTTCCTTATCTGTGAAACCTGTTTTAAAGTAGGCCTATAACTTAACGAGATGCTCCACAGTCCTCATTTTAACACAGGCAGTAGTGTGCTGTAGTCTAACTAGGCAACGGTTACTAGGCATCACATTAATCTTGTAAAATTATGGCACTTTTTTCATAAGATTCTGACTTCATTCTCGTAAAATAGTGGGGTTTTCTTCAAAATCACAGATTTAAATGTTTTTTCAGTGTAGCCACATACTTTCATCGTAAATTTGTAAATGCTAACAAATTTTGTTTCCAAAGCAGAACTACAATGTGGACAGGAAGAGAACATGTTGCTGAAAGCCAGTGATGGAATTTAACTAAATACACTTACACAATTACCTAAATATAATTTTGAGATATCTGAGTATTTTCATTTTCTGCTACTTCATACTTTGACTTCAATTTAGTTTATAGGCAAGTATTTTATTCCATTACATTCACTGGATAACTTTAGCTAATTTTCAGACTCAGATTGATAAAACAAAATGCAATGTAATCATAAGACCTTATTGATCTGTGGTGGGAAATGTACAAGCTACCCAGCAGTAACAAAAATTGTTATTACATAAGGAAGTTAAAATTAGCTCCACCTTTACCAGCTGCAACATTAAATGTGTACCCAATAGTGTTCAATCATTATAAACCAATACTATGACATGCTGTACATTAATGTGAAATGTGCCATTCTGAATAGTGAGTACTTCTACTCATTAGTCATTATGTATTTTAAATACATTTAGATGCTAATACTGTAGTAGTTTTATTAAGCAACATTTTGAATGCATAACATTAGGTAGTTTTACTACTTCTACATTTATTTAAGTAAACAATCTGAGTACTTCAACTGTCACCGCTGAACACTTTCCGATATTGAGATGAACACTGACAAGAACTTTACGTAATAAACTGCTAGCGACTTGAAACTAAATGAACAGCGCTGACTGGAACTGAGGGAAACACTATGAGTGGTACAAAAGCACATGAAACAGGACATGACCAATAGTAGGTGATAAGGTGTTAAAGTTCAACGGGGAACAAATGCATAGGCTGCAGATAAGCTTGCAGCTCCGAGATAAGAGTGTGGAGAAACCTGTGCTTGCATGTTCTTGTTTGCACGTTTGTCTGTACATGTTTCCAAGAAACTTGGGATTATTATGTTTTACAGTGATTAGGATGAGCTGTACTAAATGCAATGCTCTCAACAGCCTGCAGTGTACACATTTTTAAACGAAGGACTAAGATGAAAAGAGAGTGAGGTGCAGACAAGATGCCCTAGAGGAAAGACTGTTAAACCACAGGAAGGAGAAAAGGTGGAAAATGTGCTTATAAGGAGAGGAGGGGTAAAAAGGACTGGGTGTTGGGGGAGCTGCTGCTGCTGCTGGTAGGTACAGCGTGCAAAGGAGGTGGGCCTTGGAAATGGCTGATGCAGGCGGTCTCTACAGGCAATGAGGACTCCTTGTCGGGAGCAGGAAATGAGGTTTCTGTTGTGATTAAAATTGAGGTTTCTATGGCAATGCAGAGGGCCGTGTGCACAGAGAATTTGGTGGGAGTGGAGGGGGGCTAAGTGAGAGTAGAATTTCAAAGAAAGCAGCCTCCTCCATCTCATCTCCCACCACAGTCACCCCTCTGCTTTTCTACAGTGTCCTTTTATTTCTGGTAATCTGCTTTCACAACCACACAGACGAGATTGCAAGCAGGATTATGTTGTGCAAACAAAGTCATTGGTTGATTAGTCATAAATGTTTACAGAGTAGCAGCTTCATGTCCTAAAACTGCTGCTGTCAAAAACAAAAACAAGATATTTAAACCCACATAAGACATGTAGGATAATTAACATAATGACTTAGATGTGTCTTTTTCTTGTACAAACAGAATTATGATGAATCACCCCTCCCTTGTACAGCCCATAAAAAAGTATGATGCAAGTATGATGCATTTAATACCTAAATATAGTGAAACGCTTTGTTAATTGTTTCACCGATCTGTTAGTATGAATGTGTTTCTTAAAATAAGTTTCCCACCCTGATTTTCTTTTTTTGTACAGAGGAAGTTGCTCCCTGCGGCACCAAATGCCATCTCTGCCCCAGCACAGGCTTGCTCCAGGATGTTTGGACAAGATGACATTTGAAACTCCTGAGGATCAAAGTAAAGTTTTTCATCCCTGCACACAGACAGCTTTAGAAAAATAGAATCAGATGATTCTGATATTACTGGTACACATGAAAATAATATGGCAATCCTATCTACACTGAGCAAATGACTGAGCATACAGACAAAACTGATGTTAATGACTGTGGTGTGTACGAACTCAGAACAAGTTTAATGGTAAAGTTTTTAAAGGAGTTTATTAACATGACCACACTGGTTTTATGAGAGGAACAAATGATACAAAATACATCTGAGAATAATCATCATTATTCTACCAACAGAAATATTTCCAATTTCAAAGTATACAGTTAAGCGCTAAAAGGGATCCTCACCTTCTTTTTGGAAACAGAATCTAGGTCTCAACATGCCAATTAGAATTACAAAAGGTTCTGCTGCCCCCAGCCTTTTTGTTTGAGTATAGCAGCAAGTATCATGTAATGAAATGTTGGCATTGAGGGAGGGCGGTACTCAGACCAGACTGTATAGTCAAAGCCAGATGGCAAGTTGCACATCAAAAGGACAGCTGGTTACCAGAGTCTAAAAGGCATCTTTATAGCTCCAAACCTAATTAGTTCTGACTAAACAAATCACACCCAGGTATAATATAGCAGATCATGCCAATGATTCATCATAAAAGGTGACATGCATACAACATAAATGAGCTTGAAAGGTTTACGTGTGCAAGTTGCAACTGCAATTTCAAGATGGCCAGTCAAGCTGTTTCCATCAGTGGTTATGGCCTCTGTTGATCTATATAACGGTAAATGCTGAAATCATGCCCCTCAGGTCAGTGTGTTAGATTAGTGCGTCCTCCAGGGAGTACTGCTGACTTGTCTATGAGAATCTGGTTTCTGCCTGCTGCACTGAGCTCCCTTTCTGCAGAACCTATGAATCATATGCAGAAAATCTACTTTAAAAAACTGATCATGAGAAAAACCATAAATAATCACATACATGTAGGACTAGCTCTTTAAAATTGCACTGACCCCTTTCATTATTCTGTCACGAAGCTCCGCCTGTGAAAGTGGTTGTTCTTCTTCAGTGACAAGAGACTCCTCTCTGTCATACTCCACACTGAGGAGTCCAACCAGCATATACACACTCATCAACCTGTTGTTCTAAGTGTTTATATGTGTGTGCATATACTACTGATTTACTCATTTTAAACACCATGGTGTTAAAATTAACAAAGAAAACACTGACCTGTTGATTGCAGAATGAATACTGATTTTCTGCAGAAGCAGTTCTGGATTTTGACCCATGATGAATGTGGCCAGGTCTTTTGGATTGTAGTCCTTTTCCAGATCCTATAAAGTTATAAATACAGATACAGCACACATGCTATTACAGGACAGAAATGAAAGAACCTGTTACATATACAATATATTGCATGTAGGAGGGAAATAGAAACTGAGTAGTTACTTTAGACTTGAGGAAAGCTTGTACGGTGAGCAGCTCATTGGTCTTCTGTTCCACCAGACCCAGATAGGACATGATGTTATAATCACTGATCCCTGTAGAGGAGCCCAACATATCCTCGATCACTGAGTGGTCACACTCCAGTTTAGAGAAGATACTGGTCACTCCTTTGGGATGGCAGAAAGCAAAAGTCAGATTTACTTGTGTGTTTTTTTTGTGTATGATAAATATCCAGCCAAAGCTGCAGCATGTTCAAGCTTTTTTTGTAATCACTTGTGAGTATGAAGACACTGTTTAAGAAAAATCATTTTTTCACAAGTCCATAATTTCTTGATAATTTCATGGGACTTTTCTTCTTGACAAATATCACATTTCTGCATGCTCATCTGACCTGCTGTGCCCTGACTAAAAGACTCAGGGCTATGCTGCTAATTTAGTAGAAATACTTAAATGGAATTACACAAATGATGTACAACCAAATGACTTCTTTCCTGGAAACTTCCTATGAAATGAATAGGACACTGCAGACCTGTAAAATAAACTGTTGTCAAACCTGTTTTAATCTCGCCCAGGATTTTGCTTATAATATTGGCTTGGTTGTCATAATCCTCAACTTGGAATTTTGCCTCCTTCTGTTGTTCAACAGTGTCTCTCAGCAAAGCGCGATGATCTTGTTCCCGCTGCAAACTTTCTACTTGAAACCTCTCCATCTCTCCTTGGATCTGCAGATTCACACATTTCAGCATTAACAGATAAATAAATATTAAATGGACATAAATTAATAAACTGTCTTCTCACTGAATACTACATCTTCTCTTTCACTCAGTCCATCTACTCTCAATACTCACCATTCTCTCCTTAGCTTTTATTATTATAAATTCCCTAGAACTTACTAGAATCTTGTACCCTACAACCCTGTCCTTTGAACATCTTAATACTGTTTGCTTGCAATATTTGTGAACAAGGAATTAAGTGTATTTTACTATTACACCACAGTGGAGTATAAGCAAATTAAAATGAAAAGGTTAAGGTTACAAATGGAGGAAATTAACGACGAGCGTGTCCACAGGCACAGTCACAGTCACACAGAGAGCACACTCACCTGGCTGATTTGATCTCTCAGTGCTCCAGCCTCATTGTTTTGCTCATTGACAAAATTGAAGAGTGCAAAGTTTTGGTCTTCAACTACACAGTGAAACAGCAACACAGCAGTGAGATACATTCAGATCTTCTAAACTGAGACTGATGTGATCGATGTGGAAGTTTACTTAGCAGCAGTGTCCCACCAAAGGCAGACAAATGTAAACTAGAAGAAAATCCATCATGTGATATTTTTGCCACTCCCAAAGAAAATAAATTACTTCAATTATTTGGCTATGGGTCATTTTAAAACTAAAATGTATTATATTGAAATAGATCCAGCAATAAACTGGGTAATGTAGCAGGATCCTAGAACCAAAGAGAATGTAAATAACATTGTCTCTGTGTATGGACGAGAAGGAAAGAGTCAGGTGGCGCTGACTTGCCTTGGATGAACTTGGTGACTAGAATGTCCAGGTTGTCCTCTCCTGTCACTGTCTGAAGCCTCTCAAACACCTGCTCCAGAGCATCCAGTGACTCTTCCCCTGAGTCTGTCTTCCTCTGCTCCTTTACCTCTGACACTGGGACAAACAGGCACCATTAACATCAGCATTACCATCATTATTATCACTGACCATTCCTTTTCCAGTTGCTGTTACTATTGGCATGTTTATCATTCACTTACTGTATTAACCCTTGGTCAAACTTAAATCATCAGTGACAAATCTGTACCTCACAGCCTTACATTGTAAATGTCCCCTAGTAAATTTCATTTTGTGTTGCTACTTGTGGCTGAAACATTGTCCCCTAGTAAATTGCTTAGCTTTTCCTTTTGTGTTGCTACTTGTGGCTGAAACAACTTAACAAACACTGCAAAAAGCATCCTTTCATTCCTCTTACAGTATTCAAGGACTCTGGCAGGACTGACTGTACAGTACTTTCACACTTTTGTTGGTTTCCAAGCTCAGTGCAAAGTTAACACTGCTTTCTCTGTACTACGTTTATATTTATTGGTTTAATCTGGGATTATACAATATTTACTCCAACTTCAATCTGATTGCTTCGGCTATAAAATCTTAAATGCTTATTAGCTAGTCTGGTCTGTAGCACCGTGTTAATGTTGCTACCGTACATTATATACATTAAGTGTTCATCCCAGCTTATGTGAGCATAAAACTAAACCTAAAACAGGCACTGCCATAATCATCAGTGCTTACCATGCAGTTTGACAAGAACAGCATAACTGTACTTTTCATATTGTACAATGTCCAATTCCATAGCAGAAAACAAATCCTGAACTCCCAACATGCTTTTTCTTTTTCAGGCCTTTTCTTTTCATTTTTCAGGGACCTTATTATATTTCTACTACAATCCTTCTCTCTAGTTTGTCATGGTGTGTACAGCATTTGTGCAGCTGAAAACTGGTGGGATTCCCCACTAGATAAATATTAACTATGTCAGCATTATTATCATCACTGATCTCATCAATAAATAATAACAGGCAAAACAGCAGCATTAGCTACACCACAGTGGCTGAGACTTACATTGCCTGTGCCCTATCTCATGGCTGTCATCCAGCCCGCTCCTCTCATTGCCCTTGGTGATCATAAAATCTTTCAGGCTACACTCATGTACAATAACCCTTTCCAGTTCCTTCATCTCCATGTTGTACTGGGCAAGGTCCTTCACTGCCTTCTCTCTCATCATGGTCATCTTTGACTGAGCCTCCACCCTAAAGTAAGAAGAAACGTTTTTAAACTAGATATTCACCAGCCAAGATCATAAGGTCTATATCACATTGACTTCTATTTGAAATCTCACCTTGCATCGTAAGCAGCAGTAGACAGGTGGATAACTTCCCCAATCTTCTTGCGTACTTCCTGCAGCTCCTACAACCCACAAGAATTAGTGGAGAGACGTACTTGACAACTGAAAAACAGCGTATAAATGTATGGGCAAATAATGGGTTAGAAAACAAAGAAACTAAACAAAATTGCTAAATCTCATTTTGGGTCTCATTTCAGACCTCTGACCTTTTCCAGCCTGTTGTGTAGTTGCTGGAAACGGCCACGCTCAATATGAAGAGTCTGCAACTCCTCTCTTAGCTGGCTGTTTTTGGTCAGCAGTTCATTGAACCGAGTCAAGGCCTGGAGAGGACATGATATACAAGCTCTGTCTACAAACCAAACTCAACAATATCTACCAAGGCATAGAACCCAAACCTCAGTCTAGTTTCTATGCATGTGGTGATCAAAGGTTTCATAACTCACTCTGTCCAGTTTGTATTCCAAAGTGCGTATGGCCTTCTCAGTCCTCCGTACTTCAGACCTTTGTCTTTCACTAGTACTGACATCCCCTTTTCTCAGCTCTGCCAGCTTCAGCTCCATGTTTGAGATCTGCCCACAACACCGACATGTCATAAAACTGTTTTACTGTATGTGACAAAAAATGTTAATAAACATGAAATGAAACTAGAAGTAGTATCACATAGAGTGAAAAGGACTTCATTAACCTCTTTTTCTAGTTCTTTTTGACACTGCTTCTCTTTCTTCAGCTCCTCCTCTATCATGTCTCGCTGCTCCAGCAGAAGATGAAGACTCTGGGTGTCCCCACTGTCCTGCTGTCGGCGGGACGCGCTCTTACATACACCAAGGTTTCGATGCATCTCCTCTTGCTCCTTCAGCAGCTTGTCTATCTCCTGCCTTCATGCACAATGCACAAAGAGCTGATCAGCTAATAAAACCACACACACTGTGGACAATGGGTTATAGGTGTAATGCTTATTCACTGTTGTTTGCGGATCTGCTCCCGGGCCTGGATGTTGTAGGCCTGCCGATCTCCCTCCATGATTCTGAACTGTCTCTGTAGTTTGGCTATCTCAGATTCTGCTTAAAGACCATTATATGCACATTTTAGATGTTTCATCTATGCAACTGACAATGAAAAAAAGATCACCAACATCTAATTTTTAATAATAACAACATATCCTTATGCTTAAGTAAGATTACCTGTACCATCAATTTCCATGCCACTGCTGTCTGAGCGGGCGCTTGGGGCCGATCTTCCTCGAGGCATGGTTACGCTGGTCTTTACTGGTTAAAAATCTAAAAGTAAAATGACACTGTTTACAAAAAATATTAACTTGTATCACTGCATTCAGACCATTAAGTTTAATTAAACAGATCTCAGTTTTCAAACCCAAAAATCTGCAAACAAATAGTCAAAACTGTCTGTATACATCACTAGTGTAAAATGGGAAATCTAATCTAGTAAAGCAGGTTTAATGCCATCCAGCTGAATAGTTCATCTCGGGCAGGTACTCAAAACTGCCCACAGTACACATTATTATCAATGATTCTGTCATAGAAGACTTGAACTATTTATTGTGGTCATATTTAGCTAATATATACGAAGTGTCTGCTGTTTATGATCAATAAGAACTCACCAGATGAATGTTTGAATAGTAAAAGCCCAGTGAGGCCTCTCAACACACACAGCAGGAGCCGAGCACTCTGTGTTGTTATGAACCGTTGCTAAGCGTTTGGGAGTTAAGTCCCTGAGTTCAGGCTCTCAGGCAACAGTTCCGACCCGGAAGTAGTTCAGGTCTGCCATCGTGAAGGACATCGAAGCTTTCATTCCCGTCCGGAGAAGCCAAGAACGAAGGTATTACCAGTGCATCTTTCCGCGGCAGTGTTTTGTGGACCGACACGCCCCTTTATTGTTAAAGGCTACTACAATTTAAAGAAAAAACTCACAGTATGTTTAATTGCACCTTTATTGTTATTCAGGTAATATCGCTGTTAACGAAATTAACAACACGAATGACAGAATTAGCTACAAGGAACTTTTTAAAATAATATTAATTACAACAAAAAGATACAAAACATACTTAAAATTGGAAAATGTTTGTTTGTACACTACCACACTTTCCCATTGAATTTAATAGTAAAGTGTACCCAAAGTTGTGACTGGTAGTGTACGTACATGAGCAGTTTGTCTTGTATAGGAGATAGGAATATAGGAAAAAGTTACTATAGTTTACTCCAACAGTACTATGTGTTTCATAACATTTAGGCCTAAGATGAAAAATATATGTACATTATTGGCTCTAATTTCCTGCAGGAGTGCATTATTTTAGGGAGAAATACAGTATATCGTGAGCAGGTGGGGTCGGGGCTGGCTTTAGTTATATCCAATCAAACCAGCTCCTCACATCCCCTTTAAAGAGCAGGGCGGAAACCTGACTGACTGATGCCATGACATGGGAATATGTGAGAGGAAAGATTCTTTCCCTGTATTTTCTCCTCCTGCCCTCTATGCCTCCTGCCATATATGTACTCAATTCCTAAATTGACAGTGATTCATGTAGTATTCATGTAGAAGTACTGAACATAAATATTCACTCGAGCCATTGGCCAACGTTTGTGCATGGAAGAACGAAAGTCTCTGGCACTGGCGTTAACCTTATTGCTATTTGGTCAAAACGAGCACCAGAATTGCACTGCGATGCCTAATTGGCATACACAGGTGCCTCACCTTCGTTGCTCCTCTGACCTCAACATAAGAGCATTCATTCATGGCAGGAAAATACCAAACACAACAATGTGCAACAAAAAGACGTGCTCAAGGAAGATTGCATAAGAACTGCATATTAGGCAACGCAGAAATTGCGCTGGCAGGAAAGTAGAGCCGTGTTTGTTCACATAGAAACCATGCAAATATATATTTTTAAAAATATATATAATTTCTAGTCTGTATTAGTGTCAATACTGCAGGTTAGTATTTACTATTGCAGCAGGTACATTGTGTCCCTGTTTATTGCCCTGACTGTGGTTGTGGCTTTGGCTCCTCTTCAACTGGAGATGGTGGGACACCCTCTAGAAAAGTACAGAAGTGCTTTGGTGTATTTTTGTCAGGTTGCTTCAACAGCAAGTAGCATTTTGGAAAGTAATAGGCTGCCACCAGTCCTAAGTTGCTTATCAGGGTTAATGAAACATGAACAATGGACCTATTCTTAGGAGACAAACTTAAGTAGATTGGAATAAAGATCACCCATATCACACAGTAGATGAGGGAGGAAAAGGTGATGTCCCTGGTGAGATTATACTGACGAAGAGGCTTCACTGCCATGAAGGTGCACATGAATGATACAAGAGCCACAGCGAGGTTGAAACCTTGCATTAAGGCAAATCCAGTCAAAGGTATCACTGGACATGATAGAAAGGACCTCACAAAATCTATTTTCATGCTTGCCACATATGCAGACAGTGAGGGCACTTGCAATACAAACGAGACACAGAGGCCGGCCTGTACAGCACAGCAGACCAGCACAAACAGCCAGCTCCCAGAGCCTCTTAGTATATGCAGGTGAGAGGGGCCCATCTCTGGGAACTCTGTCAAGTAGAATATCTGTTTGAAAAGATGGGGTTTCAGCCTGATTACAATGTGCACTCTTTACTTTGCCCTACAGTACAGTCATTTGTAATGTATTCCTCACCTGTAGGGAGATGGATGTGATAATGGAGAGGGTGACAGTTTGGAAAATGCAGGTGAGAGGCAGCTGAAGATAACACACCATGTTTCCTGGCTGTCCCAGAAACAGCATGAGACTGAGGCAGGTTCCCATCAGGCCGAATAGAGCCACAAAACTCAAGACTCCTCCCGATGCCATTACCATTGGGGTCCCCCTGTGTTTCAGGAACACAACTCCTACTGTCCCATAACATACCAACAGCAGCACCCCAGCCAGCGTCAATTGCACAGCTTCAGGAGTGTTCCAAGATAGAACATCAAAGATGGGCACAGTGCAGTTAGTGCTCCGGATCATGGACCATTTACCATCAGGGCAGTCAGTACATACGATGTCCCCTGAGTCAGACAACACAACATGACATAAACCACAATATACACCATAAAATCAAACCATGAATGTATATGATGAATAGTGTGACAGCATCAACATAATAAGAAAAACTCAATATATTTTGAAAATACACTTATTTGCTGTCTCACAGACAATTAAATGAGAAAACCACTCTTATTTATGTGCATGAAAGCTCAAGCACAGCCAGCAGCTGGATAACTTATCTTAGTGGAGGCAGGCAAATCTCTGTCCTGGCTCTGTCCAAAAGAAACAAAATCTACCTATCAGCACCTGTACAGTTCATGAATCTACACATTGCATCTAGTTTGTTTAATCTGTCCAAAAGCTGGTGTGTGAAATCTTAAGGGTGGCATTTTAAGATGCATTCATGTGCAGAATTATTTCTTGGACATGCACCATTACTTGTTGGAGTACTCGCTAGTTAATCTGTCTGACTAAGAGATAGTTGTACACATAAAACTTGTAAACAACCAAGATATAATGTTCATTAGATCTCTTTAGAGGCATATTTTGTTACCTTTGAACAGAGCAAGGCTAGCTATTCCCCATGTGTATAGTTTTTATGCTGACCACTTGCAGACTGTAGCTTCATATATAATGTACAGATTTTGAGTGATATAACATTTCTCCTCTTAGCAAAAAAGCAAATAAATGTATTTTCCAAAATCCTTTCCTTTAAATAATGTTTAAGGATTTGAGAGATACACAGACAATCACATCACCGTCTTTTTCCTTGTAAGTT